AGGGAGAGAAAGGTAACGATGGAGAGGTAGGGGTCATACCATTGACCAAAGAGGAGGATGCGATCCGTTGCGCCAACGATGTCAAAGAGACACCCGTTTGGCGATCAGTGAATAATTTATTTGCAATACTTGTGGTAGCGATCGGATCCTTTTTCTGGGGCTATTATGCCTGATATGTTCACAAACACACTGTATGTCTCATTGAATGAATGTCTAAACTAGTCGTGTGTTTGAGCGCACACTTAATTTAATATAATCTGTAATTTAATACCTTGAATTTAATACAAATAAATTACACACAATTCTTGTATAGCCTTTGAGTTATCATTAATTTTCTTAAGGATGTCTTACATATTCAAAAAACACTCGCCGACACTTTTTTAGTTAACAAACAATTAAATTAACGTAAACTAAATTTTAAGTTTCAAAATATATGGTTTATTAATAATTATTTCTGTTTCAAATGTATTTTATAAATTTAATTAGCTGGGAGTTGGTTTAGATTAGGTTAGATTAGGTTGAATTGTTTTAAGGGAACATGGTCATGTAATTGCATAAAAATGATTATGGTTCGTACCAGGTAGTAAACTGGTAATTGAAATACATTATTTTGTTATACAAATCTATTTAAATCGTGCAATAATTAAATAATTTTCATAATTAAATTCAAAACTATTATACAAATAGTCCGTTTGAAACAGAGTATCAATTTGTAGCAAAAAGTGTAGTACACTGTAAAATAAACCACTTAAAAAAATAAAAAACCTATTCCTAAGTATTTTGCCTCAAAAATTGTATTTTTGAGTACACAATGTGTTAAACAAATTGATATGATTTACAAATTATTTAATCGTTCAAATTTGAGGCAACTTTTTAAGCCATTTGAAGCATTTAATGATAGAAATGCTTTTGAAATGAATAAACAAATGTTGAAAAGGATTCAAATAGAGTGCAAAAATAGTGACGGAAAGTGTATCGGCAGTAGTAGTGGTGGTCAACAGGTATTTGCTATTCATTTATAATTATAGTCAATGAGAAGTTAAAACAATTAAACCAATGAATTGTGTGTTTCATTGAACAGAATAAAGGGATCGTAGCGATGAATGTCTCTCTCTTTCTCATTCTTCCGATTCTATTGCCGTTACTTTTGGTGCAGACATTGTTGAAGACATCGTCGTTGAGGACAACCGCCGATGAAAGCAGTTATGATATGATTGATAAAGAGTTGGACAAAGAAGTGGACAAAAAATTCTTCCGATTCTATTGCCGTTACTTTTGGTGCAGACATTGTTGAAGACATCGTCGTTGAGGACAACCGCCGATGATTCGTCAATACTATACTAACTATTTCTCAACCTGTTTCTTCACCTGTTTTTTATAATGCTATTGAAAATGCCAGGCTAACACCAGACTTAATTTACGATTGATAAAACATGAATAATATCTAAAACTGTAGTTTGTAATAAAATGAGATTTATTTGTAAATTCATACACAATTATAAAACACTGTATTTTTATGAATGCCAACAATTAAATTGTAAACAACTCTTCGATTCACTTCTCGTTTTCAATATTAAACTGTTTTTTGACTTTAAAACCGTTGAATTAATTTGATCTCAAATTTGTATTTTGTTTCAAAGACTTGATTCCCGAGTGATGTATGCAAAGTCTAACAGTAAGAAAGGGCTTATAATCGGCGGTCTAGTGGTGGGGGCGTTGGGTTTCGCTGGCATTAAGCATTATATAACGGGAAAAAAGTGTAGCGACGGATCAAATAGTGGACACAAATCACAGTCAAAACATTCGGCACATAAGGACAGCGAGAAGGGAGGGTCGGCTCCGACCATACGTCCCGAAGACATCGATCTCTCGGCCGAAGCGATGAAAATGTTTGACGAATTGAGAAGGCTTCGCTTGTTTTCAATGCTGTTTGAGTTCTCACTCTGGCTTTAGGCCTGGTTTCTCAAGCGTGTATTTGAGCTTCTATTCCGTTACCGAATGTCTTGCTCACGGTTTCTGTCCCGATTTGTCAAGGCCAAAGAAGCGCAACAACAATTTGATTCATTTAAACATAAGTCCGACGACACGATTAAGAACTTCCAGAAGTCGGTTGAGGACAAGGCTATGGATGTGGAGAAGAGGGCTCACGAGGCAAAGGATTGGACGAAACAAGAGTTTGAGAAATTGAAACACGAGTCCGAAGATAAGGACTAACACACCTGGTTTCTCCGGTTTCTCAAACACCTGTTCTTTCACTCACTTCGCTTCTCCAAACAGCTAGTGTTGAAAGGGCTATTTTTCAGATTTATTGTATTTTGACTACTAATCAAAGGCTTGCATTTTGTTATCTAAATCCTAGTTTGAGATAAATTTGTATTTTTAATTTTATTAAATATTTGTGAAAATAACATTATAATTGGATTCCAAACAATTCTATTAAATGTGAATCAAAAATCTCTATTTCAACATAATTTGAATAAAAAATAAACTCTTCAAACGATTTTAATAAAATTCAGTTAACGATAAATTGATTAATAAATCATTTTTACATTCTGTGTGTTCTACTAAAATAACACTGTTTATTTACTGCAACACTCATACATGATTCATAACATTTCAATTTATCAAAATATTGAGATATTATTTAATAATTTTTTTCTTATATAAACACGACATTTGATAAGTGAAAATCTGTTTTATATTTGAATAGTTTATAATTATGATAAACGAGAAATTTTTTTATAATGCAATAAATTAATTATCTAATATTTTAATAAACGCTAACAGACATGATGTTAATAACATCACATGAATACACAAATTATAACAATAATTGAGATTTATATTCAATAAATTAGTGGGAAATGGATTGAGAGACTGAGCAATATTAAGATGTTTATCACTTTTATAACAATTATTTGAGTAAATAATGAAATATTCACACTTTTGATGTGAAACCTTCGCTGAGAGACAGCTTTTTTTGAATTCATTTTTTAATGAAAGCCTATTTACCCTTCATTTACTCACCATTTACGCTACTTACTCAGCAAAGGATAAAATCAGGTTAGAAAGACATAAAAACTAACTGTTTGTGTGAAATATGGTCTCTATTTAAAGAATAAAATAAATAAATAAACATAAAAAATAAGACTTCAACTCAAGAGTGAAATTCATATGTAGTGTTAGTTTGTGTTTAACGCTATTTAGCGTTAATAAATTGATCATATTTTTGCCTAACCAAAGGTCTCTCTCTCTCTCTCTCTCTCTCTCTCTCTCTCTCTCTCAGATAATTATGTAGAATATTATCATTTGAAACAGAAATTTGATATTAAGAGTATACAGATCTTTTTTTTCAACACAATTGTGTCCTTGTATTGCATTTATTAACGCATTGCTACAGATATTGCCACTCATTTACAACACTTATAATTTAATTAAACGACAAGATTTGTTCACATCTTTTCAATACTGTTAACAATTTTCAAAAAAGTATTTCACAAATGTTTTTATAAGAAAAAACTTCCGCTATTTATAAACTCTTGTATGCGTTAAATTCAATACTCGGTGCGAATACATTGTGTCATAAAATATTAGTGTTTATCATAATATAAAACTCAAAAACAGTGAATATTAATGAGAAATCCCGGATTACTACCCATACTGTGTTTGTGTCTAGGTTGTGCCGGCTCATGTACGTGCGTGTATTTCCCCGAGATCGATTTGGGCACAGTTGACCTGAGCCACAATCCCAAATGCGAGCACCAAAACGTCAGTGTGAATTGATTTACGTGCTTAGCTATGGCTATACCGCAAGTCAATCGCTACCTCTCTAGTTTGAAGTGTCTTCTCCGGCTTGGGCACTTTGCCCGCTGAACAACACCACATGAAGACCGCAAACAGTGTGCCTCGAGGGCCGCCCGACTCATACCTGACTGCGCCCTTCGAGACGTCCGGGCCTTTGAAAAGTTGCCCATCGATGGCGATGCCATCTCCACTATGAATAGACAATGCAATGGATATTACTTGTCATCCAGACTGTGTTCCCCCACCTCCTCAGCACCTCCTCTACTCTCTCCCATTAATTTAAATAACTTTTTTATTACACTATTTATATCACTCGTTGTGTTATTCGAAAACTTTTTACATATTATTTATTTTTGAAACCTGAGAGCAGTTTTGATAAAAACATTTGTTTTGAAAATGTCTATTTTGAATTTCAAATTTATTTCTTTTTTTAATATTTTTCAAATGTAATGTTTTGTTGAAATTGTTTTTAAGTTTGAATTCAATGTGATGTTGTTTTTTCAATACTATTTTTAGCGTTAAATATTGGATACAATTCAAAAGATAAGAGAAAAACACAAAACATATAATTTCTTATAAATGAATTACTTATATAATAGTCAATAAATTTAGTCATTATTTCTTATCAAATGAGTAATCAATGTTGCGAAAAATCTGGACAAAAATAAAACCAATGAAGTGATTTTAATAACGAAATAAATTTCAAATATTTTAATTAATTGCAATAACAAATATTTATTTATTAAATGATTTTATAATTAATTTCAAATATATAATATAATGACAAAATTTCTCTCCATTAGATTATGACAAGTTTAATACAAGTAAAATAAGTATTATGTAATAATTTAATGATAAATAAGTACAGTATTTACACGATTAATAAACAATTGATAAGAAGGAGGTCTAAAACCTGTCGTCAATGATGGACTTGGAGTCGGTGTGGGGTTTGTTAATATTGCACTTCCAGCCGATGACAAACGCCGCCTGACATGTCTTGTACTCTTTGGCGTTTTTCTTCACCAAATTTATGTACACTTTTTCGATCAATGTCTCCAATTTATGGACACATTCTTTGCCGTTATTCTTGTTATGGATGACATTCTTGTACTGTTTGACGACATCGGCCTTAATCTCGTTGTGTCTCACTTTGAGCTCAAAAGTTGTGGGCGGGATGTGAGGCACGGATAGCATGTATAAAGTCATTCGGCGCTCATATCTCTGGCAGAAAGTGATCTCATCGGACGCAGACATCGACTTGTTGTCCATCACTGAATAGATTTCGTTTTCATTGATTCGGTCACACATTTTCGTTCTATCATTCAATATAAAGTAAAATAAATATTTAATATTATATATATGATAAAATTAATTTATATTTCATATCAATAAAAAATCATTAGAAAATACTTACATAATAATCAGTAGTCGTCTCTCGATATAGAAATGTTATAACTGTTATAATTGAAGTTTTTTATACTTTCAATGTTTGCTTTCAAATTGTGTTTGAAGTTGTGATTCAAAACCTGAAACACTTGAGCCTTAAATACCAAAAGTTGTTGTTCCCGATGGGAGTAAACCTTTTACAGCAGAGGGTAGATGTCTGATGAGAGGGAGGGGTGTCCCGGATAATGATGTATATCGGGTACAATCTACTACACGTGTTTATCTCAAAAAATGATATCATCTATACTGTATATGTGTACGTATGTGTCAATTGGTGGCCAAATCTCAGTACTGTTTGCATGAAATCCCCAAAACATTTTTGATAATTACTTATTTAAATAACAAAAACTTTCCATAATTTTAATCAATGAATTCATTGTAGAAATTATAAACTCAAATAACGTGTTGAACCCCAAAATGCACTGAATTCTTATATTAATCTAAGAATAATCTATAATTCAATATTAGCTTATTCTATAGGAACCATAAACAAGGACATCTAAGACCAAACCCCTATTATAAATACAATAGGTGTCCACGAATTGGTCCCAATAAATATACAGTACATGTACTGTATGTGTGTCGAGAAAATTTTCCATCAAAAACACTTTAAAAACATTTAATAAATCAATGATTACGCCTCTGTATTGACTGCATTAAGTGCACAGACAGTAACCAACTGAACAGCATTTGTAATGAATAGTTAGATGAAATGAGTTCCGTTGACAAACCAGTGTGTGATCATCACGTGTTCAATCCCTTCAAATTAGTTGTTATGTTGAATCCAATGCGTGATCACTAACTCTACCATCTATTTCGCTATCGATGCCAAACATCCACTTCTTATGCATTCATTTCATTATATATTTATATAACATTTAATATGATGTAAATCTTATGAAATATTTTTGGCTATTGCTTTAATTTGGCACAAAATATTAGATCATTTAATAACAAGAATTTCCCGTATATTTTAGGCTCAGATTTTCACCAGAAACAATTTACTAAATAACAATTATAAATTATAATTTATAATAGTAAACAATAGAGTGACCGAAAGTCCTCACAAGTGGAACCCCTTTTGCGGGTTAAAATTGATTACAGACTTTATAATACTTCCCACAACACTGTATAAAGTTTATACTGTATTGAGTAAAATTTTATTTTTTATATTAATAAATAAATTGTTTTTATTTATTTTAGTTGTTTTTCATGAAATCTATTTATAAATAAAATTTCTATTGCAATGTCTATTTTTACACAAAACAAAAAGTTATATAATATTCATTATGGCTGCAATAATTGATCATGAATATTTATTAAACCATACTTTAGGCCTAAATTTTATAGGCTTTATTTTAAATGTTCCGGGACCGTAATATAGCAGCATTTATATTAATATTATTATAATATGTTATATAATATATTATAATTAGATGTAAAACATCCATTTGAATAATGTAATATAAATATTTTGATATTGAATATTTAAACTCAAATTTCCAATATATTTTTACATAATATCTTACATAATAAAACATTTATAATGTCAATTTTACAAAGTTTCATAATTTTAAATTAATCATGATTAAAAATTAACATACAAACAAATTTGATTAATTATGTTTTATTGAGTAGTATATTGCAAATGATTCAGACCTGATAATTTTAAACATTTAAATTAAATTTTATTGTAATGTTTTGAAAACAAGTTTGTTTTTGTGCTAAAAATAGTTTGCGAATCAGACATAAGATTAATTGGGTAATTGTGAAAGAATTGGATAATTTGTTCATTTATTCAAATAATTATAGTTTATTTAAATTTATGTTTACTTTGATATGTATTTCTTAATTTTATAATTGGGGTATTCGTTAGTATTATAACGTAAAGTAAAATTATAAGTATTTTGAATGTGTACTTTATATAGTGTAAGGTTGAAATATTTCATAATTACTTAATCTACAGTAAATTAAGTTATCCAGCATTTTTAGATAGTCATTGTTATATAATTTAGTACAAGTTATATTAAAAGTACTTATTTCTTGCTTACGGTAACTCGCGTTATAGTAAACTATGTTTCACATTCATAAAGTTAAGTAACTTTTAAAAAATTTCCATCATGCATGAATAAAAAAATAATTTGTTTTAATGTTTGTAACATAAAAGTGAATTTATGCTCAAACATCATGGATACCAACCCTAAGGACATTATAATACCGATACATAGCTTTTGCTGAGATTCAGCAGAACTCGATGTAGACGTTGGGGTCAACACGTGTGGCCTTCAATGAAGTGATGGGGGAATCAGTGAAGTGATAGTCAAACATATCTAAAAATATTATTTTTAAGTAAATTTATAAATTATAATGTAAACATTTTTTACAAGGTGCATTTAGTTAGGCACAATTAGTTCTATATGAATTATTTATTAAATTAGATAATAAACCTGGTACAAATATAGTAAAACAGTAGTAAAATAGTAAATTATGTTTTATATGTTAAAAATATTTTAGAAATTATGATAAGATAAATTCTGAATTAAATTGCAAGTGATACTTTTACAATTAAATAATTGTTATTATATTATTAAATAAATAATAATTACTAATTTATATAATGTAAAAATAGGTGTAAATATATATCACAAAAAAGAGATTTATCGTAATTGGCCATGATAATAATTGCATGTTAATTTTTTATTTATAAACATAATTTGCAAATGTTTGATGTCTGATGTCTGGTTGGCAACAATTAAGTAATTCTATATTTATGTATTTGTTATTTAGTAATTTTAGATTTACTATTTGCAAAAACAGCAATAATAGCACAAACATGATAAGTTATGGTAATTTTTACGAAAAACAAGTCAATATTTACGTGATATAATATTTATGATATATAATATATAATAGTTATGTAATAATAATGAAATTATTACAACATGTTTATCATATAATTTAATGAAAGTAAAATTTCCCTTTCATTACACAAATGAATAAATAAAATACAAAAAATGTCTAGTGCATAGATTTTATGTAAATATTATTTAAAAATTTTGTTTTTTCGGTGTGAATTATAAACACTTATATTGTATTATTTGTAAACATTTTACAACTGTCCGTAGATAATAAATATCCTAATAATATCGTAAGAATTTTATTCAATAATAATAAAACAATTATGTAATACATAACAAAATACTCAATGAATTCAAGCCAACAGTTGTAACAATTGTTTTAGATAGTGAGTACATAATCGTATATTTCTAATAATTATAACATGGTCGGAAAACAATATACAAATAGTGAAAGCTGTTGAAGAAGTATTTATAAATAACTATAACTAGATAAAATTGTAATTCTTGGGATCCATTATAAGATTTAATGATATTTGTGGAGAAATACCGGTCCATAGGATCAGTCCTTGAACTGCTCAAGAGGTTCATACAAATATGTTATGGTATTAAAAGTTAGTTATATTAACGCTGTTTTGAACGATAATATTGGGGGGAATTTTCCCAAATCTTTGTGCAAATCATTTTTGTATTTGTTTTTATTGGGTTTAAAAAACTGTTGTCCATAAAACTACAAAAAACTGTCCACACGTGTAGAGTGTGTTAAACCCAATTGAAAAGTTTATTGTTGGTTAAGATCCCATAGAAAAAAATCAGTTCGTTTAAGTATAACAAAAATATTTTTAATTTTTTCATACAATTGATAGCATTTCTAAAACAAACAATTCGGAGGAAAAAAAGAGATTTTTTCTATAAACACTATACACATGCATATAAATGTATTGCAGACGTTAATGGTAACCACCGATTGTGATACTATTTAGTTATCATAATTAAATACATATACATGTAGTAAAAATTTAATTGATTAATTAATACGATTTAAAATGAGTCTAAACGCAGACATAATCTCATTTTATAAAGTGTGGAAAGTTTTCGCAATAAATCTTTCAATGACTTTACAATATATTATACTGTACTGTACTCTACATATACTATACATTTTAAATTCGTAGGATTGGTACAGAATATATACTGTACTTTGTTATCGTCGTTATTTGAACACACGTGTAGGGATTGCCACTAAATGTCCTATAAGTCCATTAAATGTGTTGCTCTATAAGATACCACACATATTATGTCTAATACAACTGTATTGGCCGGCGGTCTCCGAGTGATGGAAAAGTTTGTAACCCATCCCCCCGGAAGATACTTATTATTGTTATTTTGGCCACACTTTTGTACTTAAAACTAGTTATTCGCACCACTCGGCTATATAAGAGCCCAAAACACTAGCAAAAGTTACCATTCAATTATTGTCTCCTATTCTTGACTTTAACTGACTTTTAAAAGTAAATTAAAACACTTTTCAATTGTGAAAGTATTCACTTATAATACACTCTTGTAATACAATACAATCTGAAAAACAATGTCTTCAATTGATTTGGAAAACAATTTCGCTAATCAGATGAATCTGAAGAACAATCGAGTGCTGAGCGAATCCCGTAATCGGAAGCGCTCGTCGGCCGTCACTCCCGTCAATCTGGACAGTAAGGAACGGGTGAAGGAGTTTCTCGACAAGTTTGACTTCATTTTGTCGGATTGCGATGGAGTTCTTTGGGTCAACAACGGGGCCGTTAAGGGCGCCCCCGAAGCCATCAACAAACTGCGAGCCAAAGGCAAACGCGTCTGTTTTGCCACTAATAACAGCACCAAAACTCGTCAAGAGTTTCACCAAAAGCTCACGAAACTAGGCTATGAGTCGCATATGGATGAGCTCTTCCCCACTTCATACTCGACGGCAGTATATCTCAAGTCGATTGGTTTCGACCGAAAGGTCTTTATCGTCGGTATGTCTGGTATTGCCGGCGAATTGGCTGATGTGGGCATCGAGTCTTGTGGCGTGGGCTCCGATCCGACGCCCAGACACTGGACACCCGGTATGGCTGATGTGGAATTGGATGAAGACGTGGGCGCAGTTGTCGTTGGCTTTGATAATCAGATATCGTTCCCAAAGCTGACCAAAGCGTGCTCTTACGTGAGAGATCCCAACTGTCTGTTCATCGCCAGTAACGCCGACGAGACGTATCCGCATCCGGACCCACGAGTGGCAGTTCCCGGTCCGGGCGCTTACGTGGCGGCCATTCAAGCGGTCACCGGTAAGGAAGCGATTCCGTTGGGCAAACCCTATAAGTACTTCTTCGACATAATCCGAAGACAACACCCGGAGATCGACCCGAAGCGCACGATTATGATCGGCGACCGACTGACCACTGATATGGTGTTCGGCAGAAACAACGGCCTGAAGACACTGTTCGTTCAGTCGGGTATCGGAACCTATGACGACATGATTAACTTCAAGAACTCCAACGATCCGGAAGACCACAAATGCGTTCCCGACTATTATCTCAACTCTTTGGACGATTTGAATAAATATCTGTAAAACTTTTTTTTAATTACATATATATATAACTATTTAACTTTTAATTTCATGTTTTATGACAATTATTACTATTTAATCACACTTTACATGATATGATTTTCTGTGACTTATTATTATTTTTAATTATGACTTTATTATAATTATTGTACTTTTATATACATATTATTCATAATTTTAATGCAATTTTTATGACTATTTAAATGCAATTGTGATATGAATTATGAAAATCAATGCAATAAACGATTAGTTGAATCAAATTTAGCGCAATTTATTACCACATGTGCTGACAATAAGTGCCATAAATAACGTCCACTTATTCTGTGCCCCAAATAGAGCCCTATTTTGAGTGAATAACTGCTGAATAACGCGAGCATTGAGTCGACCCCTGACTCACATTCAGTGCGTTATTAATGCGTCGCAAATAACACATGATTTGAGGCACACATTGCGGGCATTGAGTGTTGTCTTCATTTCTAACCACTCTTTGTCTCAACAATTAATCCAATTATCACTTCATTTGCCATTCATTTCACACCAAAACTCAATGTCTCTCACAATCAACGGGTAATCCATTGAACAAACAGTTTGTCGATTGCATGCAATCCGTGGATCAGTTGACAGTGAAGTGGTATTGATCTCTGACTGTATTATCCTTTCTTAGGCCACACGACGACGTGATGGACGTCCTGTTGGGCGACGAGTGTCAGGACATTACTCACGAGGAAGAGAGCGTATTGTTGCAGATGAACGACACGTCTTCGCCGCTGAGGAAAACAGTGGTGGAAACGACGGCGGGAACTGATGGCCCGATGGCTCGCAAACTCATTGTCTACGATCTGAACGACTCGCAGGACTCGTCTCAAGACGCGGACGAAGACAACGCCAGAGATAAGTTCCGTACGGAGAGGTCGGCCACCATTAGTCTGACGGCAAACACCCGTTCAATGGATCGCCAAATACCGGACTCTTTGGACGCAATCGCCGCTGATTTCAAGCGGAATCAGAAACACGAGAATAAGCAGAAGAAGCGCCGCAATCGCCAGAATAGGCGACAGNGCAGGACTCGTCTCAAGACGCGGACGAAGACAACGCCAGAGATAAGTTCCGTACGGAGAGGTCGGCCACCATTAGTCTGACGGCAAACACCCGTTCAATGGATCGCCAAATACCGGACTCTTTGGACGCAATCGCCGCTGATTTCAAGCGGAATCAGAAACACGAGAATAAGCAGAAGAAGCGCCGCAATCGCCAGAATAGGCGACAGTTTGGCAGTCATTATGAAAGACAAACGCCGCCAATGAGTGCAGGAATGTCTTCGGGTGGCAGTCATCACAATCGCGGCCCAGACTTAAGAAGTTTGATTAATCGTCCGCCTAATGGCCGAAGACATGGTTTCAATCAAACCAATCGATTGCTCAGTGAATCAAATGCTCTTATAATGAATCAGATCCAGAATTTGGCCAATAATTTGACCGCAAATCTGAATCCGATTACAAAATTGGTAATCAATTGATATGTTTTACAGCTTTTTGACGTCTAATCATTTGATGTCTTCCTCCACAGCAAATGGATTTAGGAATTCTTAATCCAAATCAGCTTTTATTGAACGCTCTGTTGAGTCAAAATCAGTCAATTTCTGCGGCCAATCGATTGCCGTCTTCGCTGACCACTGGTCGCAGCACTTCTTCGTTGAACCAAATGCAGGCATTGAAACCAAAGGATGACATTCAGATCACTATCAGAAATCGCAACAACAATAATAGCGGCCAATCACTCAATGCCATCAAAATGTCGACAAAACCGCAAATCAAATGTTTGGTCACAAAAGACAAAAGTGATTCCGATATTGAGATTTTGAGTGAAACGGACGGCTCTCACAATTCAGGCAATCATTTATTCAGCGGATTGTCAGTCAATGACAATGAGAGGGCCAACAGCTCTGGCAATGGCGACCATTTTGCCAACGCTTTGGCCGAAGCGGAGGTCGGCGTCGATAACGACTATTTGACACGACTTCGAGAACAAGAGGAACAGAGACGACAACTGAAGGAATATAAAGAGAAGAGACGTCTGGAAATGGCCGACGAAAGGCTCCAATCGGCTGAGGATTTGAAGGCAAAGATTGCCAATCGAAACACATTCAGACGATAACCAATTGATCTCAAAATGAATCAGTTTTCATACAAACAAATCATTTATCACTTGTTTTTCATTATTACAGTAATACTAATTATGTGTTCAATACGTTTTACATGTTTACCATCAATTGATGGACAGTTTTTCATACATTGTTTTAATTATTGTCTAATTATTTGAATCATTGACATATATTTTGATTATTGTGTTAAAAATACTATTATAAAAACTAAATCAATGCGAAAATAAATCATTACCTGTAAACAGATATGGATCCCAATATTTAACTTTTTATGCAAATATTAAGACATATCTCTGATCACAAGAATATTACTAATATTTTAATTATTGAATTCTTTGATTTTTTTGTAAAATTGTGAAATTTTAATAAAAATTATTAAAAATTAAAATCAATGATTTATTTTTTAATTTGATTTAAATCGCTATACATTTACGTTAAATTAGATTCCTTGACCTTATATTCGTGTCCATCAATGAATTGTTTGTTTGCTTTACCAGAAGACAGTGCACTGGAGTTGATCTTATCGACAATAAAACCAGAGTATGTATGACAAGAGTAAGAAGGAGGCGATGGCCATAGAAGCGGAAATCATAAATAGTTATGAATTAAATAAAAACAAAGATTTAAATTAAAATATATTTATTTTAAATTTAGAAAAACGTCAAAATGTGTCCACAATTGCAGTCATTCTCAGAATAAATGTTTTTAAAACTATATTTACCTTAAATTCAATGTGAAATCCAGAAGTTATTGAATGCCAAACAGTTTCTTCAAAACGTTAAGAATGGGATGTCTTTGTTTGTGGCCATCAATCAGTTGTTTGCCTAAACCCTAAGAGAATGAGAGGAATAGTGTGGGAATGCCTTCTGTTATCGGTTAAAGATTTGACACCTTTCCGCTCGAGGACTGACGGACTTACGTTACGGACCCGCAGGCGAACTGTATCTACCTTTGGGTGCCGTCAGTCCTCAAGTCATGGCATTAACCCATACTTAGGTTTGAATTCAATAAATGGTTAGTTTCTTACCTGAAGAGTCTTGAGATCCATGTCTTGAGTCCAAAACAAAGTCCAGGTCTTGAATTCAGAGTCGTTTTGTTGGAAAGATGTGTTGATTTGAGTGTTGTTTCGATTGATGTCTGAAATAATGTGTGAAAAGAGAGGATTAGTTCATAAAAATTTCTAAAAACTATGGCAGTGCTAAAAGTTTATGCTAAATTATAAGTTATAACAGAAATTATTGTATGAATTTTATAATAAATAATTGATCTCAAGATTGTTTAATTCAAATGTCAGATATAAGCAAATTGTGTTTTAAAACATATCTACAATATAAATAATTTGTTTAATTAAGCTATAAATTAATATTTTAATTAACATTGTATACAGTTTTGTATCTAAACTTCACAAAACTTTTCTTTGGTGTTCATAAAGTTGTAAATCGCTTAATGTATTGATTCACTGAATAGTAATTACAATACAATCCCTTATGTGTAGAGTCTATGCGAACACGTGTTGTAATGTTTACACAATTTGTTTACATTTTGTATGAAATAAACAATAAATTCAAATCCAATCGCAATCTGTGGTAAACGGGCCGACACTTCGCGGACACAGACATGAGTGACACCAACTCACAGACAAGACACGCGTCCAACGGTTCCCAAAGCGGCGATCGGAAGCGACACAAGACTGACGACATGGATGTCGGCATAAACGCCGGTTACCGCCAATCGCTGGACCAATTGGTCGACTGGTATTCCTCCGGAGTTAAGCCCACGACCATTACTACCACCACCGATGGACTCAATGCCGATGACATCTGTGTGTTTGACAAACCATTTAAAGCGATCTCTTTGGACCACTTCCTCGACAGCCCAGAGTTCTTGACGCGACTCAAGCGTGAGATCAATCAATTGGATCTAAACGTGAAGAACAACGACTTGTATCGGTTGAGACAATCGGTTGACTTGAATAACATTAAGTCGGGAACCATTGGACAGTTGTGTCAACTCTTCGCCAAACACGTGAAGCCATTCGTCGAAAGACTCACAAACCTATCACTCAATGATAACATCGCTCTCACTGTCAGCCGATATGAACAAAACGGTAAGTGATTTGATTCAGTCATTGATAACAACTCTTCGCCAAACAAGTGAAGCCATTCGTCGAAAGACTCACAAACCTATCACTCAATGATAACATCGCTCTCACTGTCAGCCGATATGAACAAAACGGTAAGTGATTTGATTCAGTCATTGATAGCCATCTCATCGATGGTATACTGTCTTCGATTTCAGACTACCTCTTGTGTCACGACGACGACGACCAGATCGACGGCCGAAGAGTCGCTTTCATACTGTATTTGGTTCCCGACTGGAAGACAAGTGACGGCGGATTACTTGACTTATTTGATGTCAATTGTGAGTCCAGAACCATCTCCAGAGTCATTATCTCAATTGATTTCACACCTCGACAGCCAATGGCGAGCCATCGGAGATCGTGGCGTCTGTGGCGCCCAAATGGAATCGCTTGGCATTCTTCGAAGTGAATCCAATCACATGGCATCAGGTGTCGGAAGTGTTGTCCGACAACAAGATCCGGCTGAGCGTCAACGGCTGGTTCCACGGGTCGCCACTCGAACGACCGAAACGCTATATCGAGCCCGCGTTTAGCACAGAGTCGGCCACAGAAGTGCCTCTGGATGTGGTGAACGCGTGGATTAATCCCATCTATTTGGACGACTCGACGCAAATGGAGATTCAGTCCCGCTTTGAAGAGTTGTCCGAAATAGTGTTACAGGACTTCTTCAATGGCGATAAGTATCAAGAGTTGGCCCGAGCTTTGAGTGACAGCGAAGCCATTGTCTGGAAGTTTAATTGTCCGCCAAATATGAGGCGATACGAGACGGCACAGGTCTCCAGCTGTCCGGCCATTGTGTTGGAAGCGTACGAACTCTTTCGCTCCGAAGCCGTATTCCTAATCCTGTCGAACCTGACGGGCCTTAAGCTCCACGAGTTGGCCACTAGTTACGGATCAGATAGCGATGACTCCGACGAAGACGGTATGCATTAGTGAATGCAATAACCATTTAATTGTTGTATTAATGTATGAATTGAATGGACAGAATCAGGTGAAGAGAACCCCCGCTGCAGAGGAGAGATCCGTCGGTGGTCTCACTCGTGCTATACGTTAGTTCACGACAACAGCGCCGAA